ACATTCACCTGGACGTTGTACCGCGGCGCGACACGCGGACGCTGTCTCTTATACACATCTAGATGTGTATAAGAGACAGGATATAGCCAGGGGAAGTTTAGTGGGGAGATATAGGCAGGGGGAGTTTAGTGGGGAGATATAGCCAGGGGGAGTTTAGTGGGGAGATATAGCCAGGGGGAGTTTAGTGGGGAGATATAGGCAGGGGGAGTTTAGTGGGGAGATATAGGCAGGGGGAGTTTAGTGGGGAGATATAGGCAGGGGGAGTTTAGTGGGGAGATATAGCCAGGGAGAGTTTAGTGGGGAGATATAGGCAGGGGGAGATTTGTGTAGGGTTATTGGCAGAGGGTGGGGAGTTTAGTGGTAGTTATTAACTCAAGGGACCTATCAATGACTAACTCAATAAATTCAGGAAGAAAACTTACTACTGTTAATTATAGACAGTAAAAAGAAATATCATGATTGAGAAACTATAACTAAGAAAATAGTGCTATCTACACCCAACACAGTCAATGGCTGAACATTTGATCCATTGTTTGACAACTAAATCTGAACTGAACTTAAAAATCACTAACACAAACAAACACAACACTTGAAATCATCAAAGTTTACAAAGAGATAATCATTAAGTTTATAGAAAGTACAATCAGGCCACAGGTCTTCATTGGTGAAGACGGTGCAGGGTGAGAACATGAGCTTTCATCAGTAATATGTGCATTATATATTACATGTTTGAAGTGATTGATAAATCTTCAATTATTAGGCTGTGAGCAGTGTGAATACATTATATATTGTATGTATAATTATATATTTCATGCATTTATTCCTTGATTACAAATCGTAGTAATTAGTTAATGATCTTATTTTCAATAAGAAATAAGGAGACAAGAGTTAACTTAAGGCAATTTTTACAGGACATATTCAGTGACACTGCATTGGAGAAGGAATATATATAGCCAGCCAAAATAAGAAAACAATGTGACTAGATGAATCAAACCCACTAGTGCAAAGAATTCACTTAATAAAAGTTTAGTTAGCATCAAGTAAAGCCTGGAGGCAAGAGCTGCGGTATAAAGCAACAAAGTTCAATGTCAAACTATGGGCTTTGAGTGACTCAAGGGATTCTTGCAGCTTCGGCAAGAATATGACATGAATGAGGTGTTTTGTCGACAGTGTTGGTCTTTTCTGACCTATGTCATGGTGCCGTGCTAGATATCCGGCAGTCGTCCAGGATGGGTCCATCGACCACGAAGAGATACAGGAGGTCCGGGCATCGTATGGGAATTTCCACTGTTCCACGGCCATGAACGCCCTAAGAGCAGTAGCTCCCACGTCCTCTTCTGCATACAACTGCAGCAGTGGAAGAAGCAGGACAGCGACCACTTAACGTGCTCTTAGTTGATGCACAAGTGCACACTAAGTGGTCGCTGTCCCACTTCTATCTATTCAAGATTCTAACAGCATCTTGCATCAGCTGGCCCAAAGGAGGGCAAATAGATGGAACACGGCCAACGTTACATCCGACGACGACTCGGAGACGGAGGACGACAAAGGCGGCCCATCAGCGTGACCAGGGACTACAATGTCCTAAACTCATTACAAGGCCACAAGGTTCTAGTGGCCCTTGCAGGCAATGAGCGTGCCAAGAGAACAGGCGAGCAGCGTTTCAAGGAGGGCTTCGTTGTCGTCAACTGCTGGACATGCCAATTCCGTTGACTGATTCACTCAAGGTTTCAAGTGAGTCACACTTCAAGTGGTACACAAAGTCATGTATTGTTATTAATGTCCTGCATCTTTATGTGCGCACCATGTGAACGGTTCCATTTTAAACAGCATTAGTGTTAGCGTTCCACACAGGTGCTCTGTAACTGTACAAGCACGGGCATTTCCTGCTATATGCATTAATGTAAGGAGCAATCGCTGCAACGAGGCTACATGGAAGTATCTGTAATAAACTACAACAGCATGGACAGTATAGTTTTAGTGAAGCTTCAATGACACTACCGTGAGACCGTCGTTTTACTCAGACCTCCGTATCCGGTTGAGCAGATATAGAAGCACAGAGACTGTGTTTAAAGTTGATAAATGTTTTATTTTTATCACTGTTTAGACGTCTCTGTTGTTCATCATAAGTTGTGTTGTCCAATTTTGTTGAATTTGTACAATTCTTGCACCTCCGGCAACTGATTTAAGAAGAACTCAAGGCACTTAGAGAACTCTTAGAGGAACTCGACGCACTTGGAGAACTCGTAGAGGAACTCAAGGCATTTAGAGAACTCTTAGAGGAACTCAAGGCACTTTGAGAACTCTTAGAGGAGCTCAAGGCACTTAGAGAACTCTTAGAGGAACTCGAGGCACTTAGAGAATTAGACCTTTGAGGAGCCCCTGGACCCTAGACCTTTGAGAAGCCCCTGGACCCTAGACCTTTGAGGAGCCCCTGGACCTTAGACCTTTGAGGAGCCCCTGGACCCTAGACCTTTAAGGAGCCTTTAGTCCATCAACCTTTGAGCAGCTCAAGTAGCTGCCTTGAGTTACAATAATATAAATCTTGTAGAATTGCATAGGTACAACCGTACAGTGAACATACACTAATTACAATTATAAAATTATGCAGGATGAGAATGGTTAAAAAACATGGCAGAGAAGGCAAGAGGTTGTACTGACCTGGGCTACACCCTCCTCCCTCACTGTCATGTACAGCTCCCACAGCCGACGCGTGAAGTCGTCCACTTTGATGGTGCTGACGATTATACCACAATGTCAACCTATCCACACTGGCTTTTTGTTTGTAAGAAAACATTTCCCAACACATGACAGAATTAAAAGTAGAAAAATATAACTCAGTACTCACTGCAGTGTGTGACAGAGAGCGCATTTTCTCATCGACGAAAACGTGAAGTCACGGACAGACAGACAGTCGGATGGACAGACGGATGGACAGACGGGTGAACAGATGGATATGGTAAGCACAATAGTGCATTTTTTTCAGAAATGAGAAAATGCATAAAAAAACATTTTTCAACACAAGATAGAATGAAAAGTAAGCTACTTCATAGCAGATTATAGTCACATAGTGCACATCTGATGATTACTACACTTGGAGATGGAAAAATAAACAACAATCAACTAAAAATATTGGCTGAAAACATCAACTTGAATGAACTCTATCATGGGCAGGCTCAAAACAGTGAAGAATTCAAATTTTGAATGCATGTAACCAAGAATTATAATAATTATTAATGTGTTACTTCTTTTTCATATTTACTTTTAAATAGTGAAACAACAATTTGTAATTGACAAATACATTTTGTTATGTTGCTATGGAGAAAAATATTTATTATAATATTTTTATAATATTTATATTATAAATATATTTTTAATATTATTATAATATTTATAGTAATATTTTAATAAGAAATGAATACTGAATTCATTATAACACAATATTACGAGGTTGCAGATATTAATTTCTGAAATGGTTCTAATTGAGTAAAGATAAGAAAGAAGCATTACTTTTATACTTTGCACCACAGTATGTTTTCATGTGCATTCAGTCGTCTGGTGAGTTCAATTCCAATTATTTTTAATAGGTATCTAAAAATTGTAGTGTGGCCAATTGCAGGTTGGTAGAGGCAGGATAATGTAACTCTAAACCGAAATCTTGCCATTAGTGGTAGTTATTAACTCAATATATCTATCAATTAGCTTAAAAAATTATATAGGTACTTCCTTGCAAAAGTATTATGCTGCAGAACATTCCTTAATATATAACACATTGATATTTACACTTAATCACAACTGAAGTATTGCAGAAATCTTGGAGAACAGTTTCAGAAATGGGAAAAAATTTAGTCGTATATCAACAATGTTAATGCAGAAGCAGTAACATGCTAATACACATGTTAAACTTCATAACATAATTTTAGGAGCATGTAAACTTAGGTTAACATTGAAATAAATTTTATTCTGGCATTTCATGACCCATTTCCCTAGCAAAATTTAGCTGTAGGCTTGACTCTTCAATAGGTGCCGCTTAAGAATCCTGGAGCACATAAAGGAGTTGCTCTATGTCAACTTCCGCTGGGTTAGCAGGGAAGCTATTAAGCTTTATATTACTTGGCTCAGCCGACTCTTCTCATACTCTCAGGCAAGTAAAATGTCAGACAGAATATTCTGTACAGAAGCTGATTTGATTGGATAACCAAGCTGACCCAGAATTACCAAGGGACTCTTAAGAATGACTAAGGTCGCCAGAGTAGAAGCTTAAGCTGTAATTTTAATCTAACCCAAATTTTTACAATTAAATGGATAAAATAATCACATGAAAATGTTGACTAAGTAAATACAAACACTTGACTCACTTGACAAGAGATCTCTGCAGGAAGTCGTGTGAGTGAGCCACTCTGTGCATGAGTGTATTGATGAGTGGCTGCAGCTTGTAGACTTTCTCAAACTCACGCCGGGGGAAAGGAGTCGGCAGCAGGAAGAATGGCGCCATCGAGAGGGTGTCCGTTGAGAAGCTGTCTTTGTAGCGCATGCCAGCTCCTGGAGGACAAGTGGCAGAAATGTTTGAGGAGTTTTGTACCTTAGATTACATGTGAAGAAAGTTAGGGATGATATTTAAAGATGAGTCACATTCCATGGGTAATATTTCAAACTATATTAGTATATACGTGTTCATATAGGTACTACTTATAATTTATAATTTATAAAAATACTGACTTTATAGCAGAAGTGCAAGAACAAGGAAATATTGGTGACATTTTAAAAACTGTCAACTATGACAGATCAGTAAGATATATTAATAGATGAAAAAAAACATCAAAAATTAGGTTTGTGAAAAAAACTTATACATAAAAGAAACAAATCTAGTCTGCAACAAAAAAACATATATAAAAGAAATAAATCTAGTCTGGCAACAAAATCTAGTACATTAAATTTTAATGTACATTATATTTTAACGTACAAACAATAAAATATATGCTTCACCAAAACTATTAGACTCACCACAACAGAACAAGAGTATAAATACACTACCCTACCACACAAGGCTGCTGTGTAGTGTGGAATACACATACCATATTGGACACAGCCAATCACAGTCTGGAGAGGATGACATCACAATCTCACAGCCAATCACAGTCTGGAGAGGATGACATCACAATCTCACAACCAATCACAGTCTGGAGAAGATGACATCGCAATCTCACAACCAATCACAGTCTGGAGTGGATGACATCACAATCCAATAACCAATCACAGTCTGGAGAGGATGACATCACATCCACTCACACTTTTGAGATTGACATGCATCTGCGCAAAAACGACAAATTTCATGCACTATCCAAGAATGCCACACTGCTGCTGTTTTAATCAAATATTGTACTTGTACATAGCAGCAGCAACTGACCGTGTAGTAAAGCATAATCTTTGGCATCCGCAGCAAGCTGTTGCAGCAGCGGCTCAGAAAGAGGGAGGGGGATGCTGCTGTAGGGGATCTTGCTTGCAGTCTCTGCAGGTTTGCAGGTGTTTTCACAGCCTTCCTGGTTACAGCACCTGGTCTCTTGCAGCTCCTTTGGTGAACTCATTGTGACTGCTTTGTCTTGGATGCAAACTTCACAATGATTTTACACAATATATATATATAAACCACTAATAATCAACACTTTTCTTTACTTTATTTTGCTAGGATCAAAACAAATACTGCACAGAAATTTTAGTTAAAAAAATTAGCATTTGTTTACCTTCTTGAAAAAATCAGGAATGATATTTGAGAACATTCATGATATACCGTAAAATGGGGTTACTTTGACCGGCGGGGTAACTTTGACCACTTTTGGTTTTTTTAACAAAAACCCCCAAAACTCAAAAACGATGAAGAGGAGCATATTGCTCCTCTTGCTTAATCTTAGATTATTAGGTTCCTACTCTTCATTCCTGGCACTTTGGTGTATTTCTTACTTTAGGTTATGCTTCCTAATATGGTTTGCTCTTTCCATTTAATTTAGGGCTTTTGTGACTGTTATTATTAATGAATGTTTCCTTCCCTTGTATTTGTTTCAGGTGTTGTTTTCCATCAATAATTCACTAGTTAGAGCATGCAACTTTATGCAATGTCTGACAAGTTCAAGTGCTTCTGCCTTATCCTCATGTTTAAAGTGTAGCATGCACTATTAAAAGTCTTGGTTAAGCTTAGTAAGCATACCACTAATCACGCTTTAAATAGAATCACGGCTCGTAGAAATGGAATCACGGCTGGCAAATCCATAAAACCACGGCTCAAAAAATTCAGTCGCGGTTCGCCAAGTAGATATATTCCATACTAGCAACTAGGTATCCGTATAGCACGACCTAAAATTAACTGCAATTATTGTGACAAATATATTAAATGAAAAAATTTCAATCTAAATGTGTCAGCAAGATCTGAAGGCATAAATTTTGCTACTGAAGCGTCACCAACGATCTTGCAATATTCATCCACTATCTGCACAGTGGAATTGGTAAGCAGCAATTTGCTTTAACCTATAGATTTTGTATTAGAATAAAATATTCTACTGCTTGATAAGATTTAATATTACGCTAACTTGACTTCTCAGTCTCAGAGGCTGTACCTACCCATTATTCACTCAATCTCAATGATCTTTATGATCACTGATCACAGCCTCTCAGGCAAAAGCAGGTAGATTACAATGAAAACTACTGTTGGAAACTACCATGGTGGAATTCTAGCCCTGGAGGTACCTAGCGGTCCGGGTCGGGGCGCGCGCGGTCCGCATCGAGCC